TGCTCTAATATTTTTGTTACCTTGGATTGAGACTGTCTTTCTATAGAACTGCATCCCACAGATGATACATGAGTGAAAATGGAATAATAGTGGAATGATACTGATAGGGGAATAACTAAAGACTCAAGAGTAACCTGTCCTAGTTCTACTTTGTCCAACATAAATATCACCTGCACTGCCCTGGGAGTGAACCCAGATCTCCACATTGAGAAGCTGGTAACTTACCACCTGTACTATGGCACATCCGTGGCAGGGACTTCAGAGTTTTTATAATGGGAAGTTTGTGGTTTGTATAGTAGCTGTTAAGACAGAGTGTGAGAGTGTAAAGCCCTTTCTGTTCTATTTTATAATGTAGGTTAATGTCATTGATCGCCCCATCACCCAACAAGGACTTACTGGTCTTCGAACTGGCACCAGGGGACCACAAATGAGACAGGTACAAGATAAGAGGTACTTTGTAGGTCTCCTACAAATGAAGATTCGAGAATTGTCACAAGAGATTACACGCCTTTCAAGAGAAATTGATAGTCAATCACGAGAGCAAGCAAATTTTCTAGTCTATGATAAACGTGTAAAGGAAATAGCTGCTGAACTTACAGGTGAGGCTTAAATATGTAGATTATTTCACATATGCAAAGTGATTCATGTACATTGACTATGATTTAATATTAGAAGGAAGTAGAATGTTTCTAAAACTCAGAGAACCAGTAACCCTAGTATAAGGAAGCTTGAAGCGTACTGGTCAACTACATACAGTGCCAAGGTCAAAAATATGTGTAGATTTGCCTCCTTGTCCCTCCTCATGGTCAGCTCCTTAGATAACATAAGGGTCACATTTTATTTCCTCTCACCATATTCCTCACTGAGTTCTGTTATTATAACATAAAAAGCTGATGTGGAAATAAACACAATCATTTTGACAAAGAACATTTGAGGTTCTTATGGCAGTGAAGTTGCCAGTATTAGTCTTCTTGGTTATAATGCTCTGTGGTCTTACAGGTGGTTATCAATGTATCACAGGAATGTATTGTCTTCATCTTTAAGGTAACATGACCCTGAAGATGGGGTGATATGTTCCTCCAAATTACTGGTAACCACCTACAAGACTTTGCAGTCACAACAAAGACCACCACCACTGACATGAAATATCTATTCGATGGACTATTGACTGAGGTTACTTCTTTCCAATGGAGTAGGTATTCTAGACAGAATGTTTCAGAAACTAGATGTTTCCATCCTCAGGTGGAAAGTATGTACTCAGGTGGGTTCATTGGAGATACTTGTACTCACTGGACCAGTGATTAAGTTAGCTATATCTGATGAACTTAAGTATCTAGTCCCCACCTTTTTGCTTGAGGATGAAAACAGATCCAGTTTCTGAAATGTTTTGTTCTGCTCAAAATACCAAACAGCGGACAAACACCAGAAACCCAGTAACAATGATTTAATAAAATGTTTATGTGTCATCAACAGTGGCTTTAAAGTCCTTGAAGGACCATGGCCTCCTCACATACGAAGTTTCTTGATTTCTTTTTTAGACAAAATGTTGATATGTAACTATTTTAAAACAAAACACCTTGGTATGACCTTATTGATACCTGTCTGTTTCTGTATTAGAGTTGCAGGGCCAATTGGCAGATTACAACCTCGTAGTGGATAAGGTAAACACTGACACTGAGAAATCTGAAGTGGATGCAGAATGTGGGGAGCTGAAGGAACAAAATGATAAGGCAATGACTCAGCTTGAACAGTTATTTTCACAAAGGCAACAAAAAGAATCACAGATAGGTCAATTGGAGAAGGAAATAGAACAGGTATGCCATTACTTTTTATCATATTCCAAAATGTATAATATATGATGCATAGTAGTAACCTCGCCATTCTTTTTTTTCCCTTGCTGTCATATCCTAAATGTGGTGAAATTAACATGTACATACTTTTTGTCACTGCTGTCAAATTGTCCACAGAACGATTGTAAATATTATATATTTTGTTAATTTTTTCATTAAAACTTTTCTTACCAAAAATACTCTAGACTCAAGTATAAGTATAGATAAGAAGTATGAAATAATCCAAAGGTGTACGTATTTGCTTACTTTGAATCTTTGTCCCATTTTAGGAACAAAACATGACAGAGAACTTACTTAAGGCCATGAGTTCCCCACTGAAGGAACATTATGATGAACTACAGAAAACTAATAATCAGCTACAGCAGCAGATGGAGACATTACAACAGGAACTAGATAGTCTTACTAACAAAAAATTGATTTTGGAAGATCAGTTGTCATTGTCTCAGGTTGGTTTTATATGTAAGTGGCATTTCAGAAGTATTTTATGTGATCAGTACATGGCACAGAAAATCAAGAGAAATAATATATCACCACCAGGGTTGATATACTTCACCCATTTGTGAGGCAGATGAAAAGTCATAGTACTGTCATCATCTGTGCTTAGACAGTGTACTAATGCTTCAATAGTCCTACTGATGGTATATGCATTTTAAAATTGGTGTAGTGTACAATATGTAATCAGGATGACTGTCTCCTGGGATGTTACACCTTGTAGTCTGGTAGACATTTACAAACATCTCAGAGGTGCTTGTTGTCTCCATCATTCAGGTGAATGCCCTGATGATGGAGGCATCAATCACGCCTGAAACATCCATGAACTTCTACCTGACTACACAATGCAACAACCCAAAAGACAGCCATCTTCAATATATATTCACTATTTCAAAAGAGAAAGCTAAATTTCTGAAGCAATTGAACAGATTAAGCAAGAAGCAGTGCACCTACATCATAAATTAAAAGAGGCTGAAGAGAGGAAAGCATCTCTCCTGGAGGAAGAAAGGACACGATCCACACCAGCCCAGGAGCGGGAACAGTTACTGCAGAGGGTTAAGGATGACAATATTGAAATTGCAACCATGGAACGACATAATTAGAGCAAATTGAGCAGGTACAACTGGAGTAGTTACTTGACATTGTGGCAACACATTTTACTATGTCTTGTATTTATGTGATCTGCACTCCCTCTATATACCTTCATGGTGTGATGTTTAACCCTGTTGCATTTGAATGTCCATGAATTACCATATACTGTGAAATTCAACTTCAGTTCACATCAAAATAATTTTCTTTATTCACTGACATATTCTGGTTTTATTTCTCAAGTGGTAAAATGTATTCTTGTTGGTCTACATAGTGCTGCCATGTAGTATGAATAATTTGAACTGAAAGTAAATATCATGTGGTTGCCATGCTGTTGAAAGTTGTTTTGAGCATTTGGTGTGTGATGACATTTCACAATTTTAATCAATTACAAATTGTAAAAATATAAAATAGTAAAATATAAGATTAGGTTTTGGTGTTTGGATTTTTGTAATTTTTATTTTTCTGTGTACATACATGATAATCTAACCAACATAATGAGTTCAGATATTTTGACTTTAAATGTACTGTATGTCAAGTAGAAACCCTTTTTGTACTATGAACCATTTCTGAGAAATTTTACAAAATGTTAATTTTCTGGTCTGCATATCCTGTTATATTGAATAAAACATTTAACTACTTGCCTAGCCACTTGCAACAAAACATGTACATCTTAATCTTATTGATATAGGATTTGGATGAAAGCCAGAGTGAACGTCATCAAAAGTATCGAGAGCTTCGTCGAAGAGAGGAAACCATGGAACAGTTCTTGTCAACTTTTGATGACAGTCGTGATCAAGAAATGACTCGTATTGGGCAGCTAGAATTGGGCATTGTAACAGCTTTACAACAAATAAGCCATAATTTGGCTCATTCTGGACATCTTCCCAGTGTAGATGACTTTGCAACAATGAAGGACAATTTGGCATTTAAAGAAGGGGAACTTGAAAAGTCCCGAAAAACTGTAGAAGGCTTAGCAAAAGAGCAACAACAACTACGGCAAAACTTGCAGAAGGTCAGAACCAGAACAAACTTGAATTCTAAAGCATACATGAACAAGTATATTTATGTGAGGATGTAAGGATGGATAAAACTATTATAACTGCTCTTCCTTTATCATTCATTTTACATATTTTATTTTTCATAAGCGTTATTGGTTTTAGCATGTACTAAAATATTGAAAATTACTATTCTAATTTTTGGTATGTTTGAAGGTTGAAGCTCTTGAAGAAAAAATTAAAGCTGAGATGGAGACTCTGAGGAAACGTATGGCCACCATGCAAGGAGAAATGGGAACACTGTCAGACTTAAATTCTCTACGAGACAATGCTCAGGAGAAACGTATGCTGTTGGACAAGGAAAGAAAAATTCTCCTTAATTTAAAAGGACCAGCTCAGCTTACACTTGTAGAAGCGCAAATGAAACATGAAAATCTTCAGGTACAAACTTAGGTTTTCTATGTTACCATACAATATTTTAAGAATGTATTATACATTAGTCAGTATGATTTATCACGGTTTCTTTCCTCTTTCTTTTGCTGTGACATTTCAGCCATTAAAAGACCATCATCAAGCATGGAATGTCTGAAATACAAATTTTATTCCAAACAACAATCACTTTGATGAACTTCAATTTCATAGAATTAAATTGAAGACCATTCAGAGTTTGCCTATAAATTCACCGTGTAATTGAATGGATGTATGCATTCCAAAATTTACTTGCAAAAATTCAAGTGAAAAGAAAAGACTGATAACCTTACCCAGTCTTTTAGTGCAAAATTATCATGTAGAAAGTGAAATTCAAGAATTTCAAAAGAAGCCAACAGGGACAGAAAGCTCGGCTGCATGCCTGAGATCCCAAAGCCAAAGCTTGAGTAATTTATAAAATCATAGTTTATGCCCTGCCTACCTGCTCGTTGCTTTACAGAAATAACAGTTCTGTCCTAGTGAATGATTTGCTTATTAATACAGCCATCTTACTCTTGAACACAGCTGCTCAGTTATATATTTATTTTTAATACCATTCTTCAGTAGAAAAACAGGTTTCTCCACAACAAAACAGAAAATGTCTCTAGCTACAATTAACATTAGCATTATTAATAATATTTCACAAAATAACACTTCAGTTACTATCTCTGTTGTCCATGTGACAAAGTAACACACCACAAGAACAAACCTCTATTTTAATTGCATCCCTTTTTCAGAAACGACTGAATGAAAATGAAACATATGCTCAGCTCACTAACCTGGAACGGAAGTTGGCCCAAGTGGAGCAGAATAATTATAATATTCAAGAATTTATTGCATGTAAGAAATCAGAAACAGACTATGAACCACTAAAAGACAAGGTATACAAACTTGCTCAGGATTACAATAATATTATAAAGGATAATATAAGAAAAGAGGGTGTAGTTTAAAATAATTTATTAATTTTAAAGTCTTTTAAGTACCTCACTACCATAGATTGGAGGGAAACAAGTTATTTTATTGCACCACTTAAATGGTTATAAAGTTAAAAATGCAACTTTTGCACAAAATCAGTGCTATTGATCTCATATGTGCCTGATGGAATCTAGTCATATAAGAAAAAGGGATTGTTTTAACATGTCAAGCACATCATCATCACCACAGTTTATAAAACTGTATGGGTATTCATAATTTTTAAGATTATGATGTTTGAGATTTCAGAGTCTCATGGTAGTGGGTATGAAGGTGGCTGTCTTTTGGGATGTTGTAGAAAATGTCTGATATTTCATTGTCCTAATGATGAAAGCAGTTAGCACTTCTGAAATGTTTTGTCAGTTTGTATGAGGGTACATGGCAAAACATCCCAGGAGACTGTTACCATTATGTGATAATTTGTTTACATGTTATTTTGCACTGTCTGTGATCATTACACACCAACCAAGGTTTTAAAACTTTTAATGCAGCAAAAATTATAAATTTTCATCTTGCACTCCTTGCCATATTTTAAGACTAGCATTATTTCAGGCTTAAATCACATAAGGTGCCAACACTTGCAAGGCTTAGACAGAAAACTTTCATAGTGAAGAAAAATTCTTTTCCTGATAATACAAAACAATCATTTGCTCCATCAGGCTTCACATTCAAACCTTGTAGTCATAAGATAAGCCTCATACGATAACAGTTAAATTAAAAAAGTAAAAAAAAATATCCACTGATTAATGCTGTATAGAGATTGTGTTCTGTTTTCTTGCTGAAAGAAATGTTTAAATCATAAATGTCAAATATTAATTGTATAGGCTGTTTTTCATTTATAGAATCTGACATGCAATAAAATGTTGGTTGTGTGCAAAGTGTAATTAATTTCACTCAATCCCTGATCCCTACAAACTCATGCAAGTCAGAAACCAAAGACAAGTGGTTTTCTTTCTGCTTCTGTGTGTCAATAGTGATGGAATGAGCTTGACTGAGACATGTCTCATTCACAAACCTTCAGTTAAAATAGTTTGACATAAACCATAAGAAATTCCTGCCTTTTTATCCATTTCATGAATAGTCAGGTTCCTGTCATTTCACATTAAAACATATACCTAAGCTACCAGTTCTTTGTTTCTGGTGTTTGATGGACAAAAAGGTAATTTTCTGCTTTCAGATTACAAAAATTAAAAACAAGTCCTTAAGACAAATTATATAAGTATACAGTATAAGAGACAGGAATAAATATCAATAAGAACAACAGAGGTTGTTGCACATTTCTGTTACCATAATTACTTTTCCAGTAAATACATTTTATAAAGTTTCTCCAATTCAGGAACATTAAATTTTGGTATAAAATTAATCTTCACAATATCATCAAACCCTTCATCCTGGTTTGGCTCGACATACTTTTTTCTGGAAAGAAAATATGTATTTTTATCATAACAGTATTCAGTCCCATAGTTAATCTTTTATAGTAAGTAAAATTTGTAAACTTACTTGTACATGTTGATAATCATATCACTGATTGGCTCATGATTATCATCTGTATATTCTCGAAACTGAAAATGAAATGGATTCATTTTACTAAACAGCTCTGTAATATAAACAAGTTTGATATTGTACTGGTGCCTCCAGCAGAAAATTAACTGCCACATTTTCTGACAGTTCAGACACACAAGTTTTATGTCAAAATTCAACAGCTAACATCAGTTTTATGTGTTTTTAACACTAATGCATTATAATCAGCATCACAGTTGTGATGGGCATATAATGAAAGATGACCAGACTACTTTACATTTGTGCATACATTTTCATTTATGCAGGAAAAGCTGGATCTAAAACATGTAATGCTTATTTAAATTTTGCAAATGTGACTGTATTTTGCACTCTCTAGTTTTAAAACCTCTCAGAAATGTCTGAGTTACTAGATTAAATTCTTCCAGTAGTTTCCTACAATAATAGACAAACAAAATATTCCTTTTGCTCTATGAGAATGGATACACAGGAATCATATCTTTCACTTTACCTTGTTGTTGTGTTTAGCATGTTCTATGCTTGTCTTCAGGACAAAACAACGACACATTACACCATGTTTACGGGCTGCACTAATAAATTTCTGTCTTGACTCCTTGTCAGGATTGGTGTTATCAATGATTACACTCTTGCCTGCAGCGAGTGCTGATTCTAAAGTTGACATACATTTCTGCAAAGAACCCAGTGTATCTCTGTTCACATGATGGTATCCTTCTGGAACCAAATAGGTTGATGCAAAAAAGCTCTTACCAGAGCCAGGAGATCCAACAAGAACCACAACCTGTAATAGAATTTACAGCTTGCAAACAAATATCACAGATCATGACATTCTAATGACTACCTTGTTTCTTTGTAAATACAATTTCAAAGGTCTGCATTGTTGTTACTCTCATACTGTCCAGTACAATGAAGTGTTTTATATAAAATCTGTATTAATGCTTGTAATCTCCATTCACACAAATTTTGTTTATCGGACTACATTAATTCACTCATTATTACCATCAAACTAAAAAGTATGTACATATTTTTTAAAAAAATTAAAAGGTGTATATTTCCAGTTTTGAATAAACAACCCTGGACACATTTACTATCATTTTCTATTTTTACACATAATCACCATTTCTTATAATGTGCCTTGTCAAGCCATGAATAGTACATATTCCCACACATAGAAGCTGTCTGGTGTCATGTGTTATGCAGTCATTTATTTACAGTTGTCTCATAGAGTCTGTCAAATCACTGCCCATACAATGCATTCTGTT